AAAAACGTACACATTTATACTCAGAATACGGTACGTTTTATCAGTTCTTATCAGGTAAATATATGGTCATCACATAAACTGTCATCAATTATTTACTTAAATGTCTGAACGTTTTCCGTCAGAACAAGTTAATTAGGTAGTTCGTTCCAGTCTTTAATCATCCGATGACAGTTCGGGTTCGTCCATACTTCAAGTTTGGCGTACTTTGTCTTCATTTTATATCGGTTGCCTCGGGAATTTTCGTTTGCGCCAGTTCGAAAAAATCGGCCGATTTACGTGCAGAGTCTGCTTCTCTGACAAGTATGAAGACCAGGATCATGTCCCTTCTATGTTGCCTTTAAGAGGGAAAAAAGTTTGAGCCTTCTGAGCCGTTCCCATAGGGTAAGCTCTTCAGTACACCGACTAGTTAATCGTCCTTCGTTGCATCTTCTCCAGGAGAGTGTAGGCGCACTTCATCCAGCCGTGTCACGCCTGAATGCCATATTCTAAAATCAGCCGGATAAATGTTCCAAACAGTCGACCGCAAAACTCTTCCTCAAGGCTAAGGAAGGATCTTCTGACCACTTCCAGGATGCTCATAGCCTTTGTCATTTGGCGCAGTGAGACGAGTGGCTGAGAGTGGTCGTCATCCACAAAGACAGTCTAGGCAATCGTTCACATATACTTAGAACAGAACGGGGCCCAGAACGCTCCCTGGCGGAAGGCTTTTGTGAACTGTTTCCCACCTAGATTTGGCGTCCCCAATGCACACACGCTGACGTCGGCCTGTGAGGAAGTCGGCCAACCACTTGAGTAGGTTACCAGTCACACCCATTTGGCGCAGTTTAGATACGAGCCGTCTGTGTGACACCCTGTCAAAGGCTTTGCTGAAATCGGTATACACTGCATCTACTGAAATTGATGTGAGCAGGTTAGTGAGACAGCGTCGACCACCTCTAAACCTATGTTGATGCACACTAAGTAAGTCGCTCTCCTCAATATGTCTCGTCAGTTTCTTTTTTATGATTTCTCCATTAGTTTGCAACAGGTTGTGCGGCTCACTGGTCTGAAGCTATTTGGTCGGATTCTCCCTCCCTTCATATATAGGACTTAGATTGGCTAGCTTCCTGTCAGTAGGCAAAGCCCTCGCCCCCAATGAACTTTCGAAAGTCTTGGAGAATATCGTATCCGAAAAGAATCAGGGACATAGAGCGAACCGAAGTCATCAGCATCACAGGGTTCTGTCTTAGGCCCAGTACTCTTCCTGATTTATGTTAATGACTGCATCAGCGAAGTGAATTGCGAGGCTCTCATGTTCGCGGATGACATAAAAATATGGAGTGAAGTCAAGTGCGATGATGACGCAAAGAAGTTGCAGTCGAACATCGACAAACTGCGTGCTTGGTCGAACAGCTGGCTTTTGAAGTTTAACGTGTCCGAATGCGTGGTCTTGCACCTGAACACCGGCCGCAATGCCTCTCCCAAACACCAGTACTATATTGACGCGACGAGGTTAGAAACTGTAGAAAGACACAGAGATATGGGTGTATGGACGACCACAAATCTATCGCCATCAGAACACTGCAGAAAGATGGTCCAGAAGGCAACTAGTACTCTACACTGGATCAGACGTGCATTTAAAATATTTCCTCCCGAACTCTTCGAAAGACTCTTTGGTGTCTTTGTAAGACCTCATCTAGAGTATGGAATACCAGTAGCTTCACCATGGATGAGGAAGGATGTCAACTTACTCGAACAGGTGCAACGCAGAGCGACAAAGATGGTTGACGGTCTAAAGCATTTGTCTTATCAGGAGAGGCTGAATTTGCTTAGCCTATTCCCTCTCTCTTATAGACAAATAACCTGTAGTCTACTCTGGACGTTCCGGATTGTTCGCGGCCAGGGTTGCTCATTAAGGGCAGAGGACTTCTTTGAGTTCGCCCGTACAAACCAACTACGCGGCCATGCATACAAAGTCGGGAATGAGCGCACGCGTTTAGACCGACGAAAATTTTCATTCAGCCAGCGGGTTGTCAGGCCGTGGAACTCGCTTCCAAGCGAGACAGTGACGGCTGACACAGTTTGTGTGTTGAAAAGAAAACTTGCTCGTCTAGTTTTCGACAGAAATCGGCTTGTACAGCATGACTATGCACAGCCAGTTTTGTAAAATCTCTCATATACAATCTTCCGCACTAATTTACAGTGACGCTATGCAGTACCTTATGATTACGATTGAACTGTGGCCCAATCACATTTTAAATGCCTGCAATTTATTTTATTTTTGAGTATGAATGTGCGAAAGCAATGTACATAAATAGGGTCATCAAGGGCTCTGCCTCTAACCCTTCAATACATACATACATACCAGGCGAGACTCCTTCCTAACTTCCCAAAGAACTTGCTTGTAAACTTTCTATGCTCCGGTCGATGCTCTTTCAAACGTCATTCGACACTGGGATACTTCCTATGAATTGGAGGCTGACACATATAACTCCACTAGGAGGTAGCAGGGCGTCGGTGAAAAATTACAGACCTATATGTTTGGCATGCATTTTCAAAAAAGTTATGAAGAGGATCATGGAGAGTGGGTTGGTGCAATTCCTGGAAGTTCACGACTTCCTATCGAACTGCCGACATGGGTTTTAGAAAGAAAGAACCTGTACGACAAACTTGTTACAATCTTTTCATAGCTGGATCCGAGTTCTCGATGACAGGCAGGCGGTCCATATCGCCTTCGCTGACTTCCAGGGGGCGTTTGACACTGTGTCACAGCAGGTACTGTTATATAAGCAGAAAACAATAATGATCAGAGGCAATTTCCTCAGATGGAACGGAAACTTTCTTGTGGGCCGGCACCAGGTTTCGTTCATTGGTCAAAGAAGATCAGGTACTGCTGTTTCGAGAATGGTGTTCCCGGGGGTTCAATACGGGACCCGTTCTATTCATAATGTACGTGGACGATTGCGCAAAAGCTTTAGACTGGGAAGCAGCAATGTTCGCTGACGACATGAAAATATGAAGTTTATAGCAGCCTTTTCCCTGTCCCCTCGTTCTACTGTATACGCGCCACGGCTGCACTCGCCAACCCTCGATTTGCCCTCCCGTCCACGCCACACCCCTGGTCGATGATTTGTCACTACCCTCACGTGCTCTCGAAGCCAGTCAGTGCGATCTCTTTCGCCGATTGGTTACAAGTGCACACACGGGACGCCGCCATTGCGGACGTGATTTTGAACAGACAGGACAGAGGCAAGAAGGACACAACACTTTTTTGGTGGTAGCGACACACTGAAGGCTCCGCAACGGAAGCTCTCCAGAACGAACGCTTATCTCTACCACAAGCATACAGCCAACTTACGGCGACCTGCCCTGTGTACAGAATAAACCCGTTCTCCCAACTTCCTGGCTTCTCTCATTGGACGGAGCAAAATTATTGTATGTGGTTTAAGTTGATCTCACGTCCTTGATCACTACAAGTGTATTCCGGGGCTATGACGGCAAAGACAGTCTGCAGGCGAACATAAATCGTTTGAAGGGGTGGTCAGACAGCTGGCTCGTGCAGTTAAACTTCGATAAGTGTGCTAGACTTCGCCTGGCAATCCAGCCAAATCCGCCAGCACAAGGCCTACTTTCTTAACGATGCGGACTAACGAGACGTCAAAGGCTAGAAGGACCTCGGTATGCTGACGACAAATTCGCTGAGACAATCCGCTCACTGTTCAAGAGTGGCAAAAAGCTTAATGTCCGTATTGTACTCCATCAAGCGTGCATTTATAGATTTTGAAGAGGACGTCTTCTCAAGGATTTTTAGAACATTAATGTGGTCACACTCAGAATACGGCATACAAGCCCGGGGATCGTGAGCGGTTCAAGACTAAAATTGCCTCAAAATAGTTCAGAGAAGAGCCGCGAGGATGGCTAGGAGCCACAGTTCATTTCCTCATGCAACCCGCTTAATTAGTCTGAACCTCCTCCCTTTCAGTTTTAGGAAACTTCACGGGGATATTCTGCAAACATTCCGCGTAGTGACGGGGTTAGACGGCAGCCTGGCATTCGAGGACATGTTTGAATTCGCTACCACGACCAAACTCCGAGGTCATCCGTTAAAACTGCACACTCAGAAGGCAAGGATGGATGTGCGGAAGTTCTCCTTCTCTGTCACAGTGGTGAAACTATGGGTTGTCCTCCATGCAGATGCTGCGATGTCGCCATCGATACAAAACCTTAAAAGGAACCTTGGCAAAATAAACAACAGCGATAAGAGACCGAGCTCAACCCCTGAGACTCACACTCAACTTGTCACACCTGAACAGGCCCGTTTAAATTATTTCAACGCACATATTTTCTCTGTACACCACCACCAATTTAACGTTGCGAATAGGGTACTCGCAGGCTCGCGCCTATAGGTTTCAATAAGCTGAACTGGACCGTGAACGCATTGGGATGCACCTGAATTTTCATTATGTTCTTCTATCTACCTTTAATTTCGTATGTTCGGTTTTAGTTCGTCACACTTTTTGCGCGTAGAAGCTATCATTTTGCAGTCACGAAGCTTGGCTTCTGTGTGTCTTCTACGTCATCCCAACACCCACTCTATGCTCTTGCTGGACACTACCGGCCTAAGCATGCGTATTCACACACAGATAGATACACCAGAATATCTAACAATATTTCGATTTCCCGATAATTCATACGTCAGTTTGTTCCTCTTCTAGGCGCCTCCTAATGCCTATTTTGTGGTCCGGCATATGCGGGCACTTCTGCGAGCTTAAATTGAAGTCGACCAAAAGGCTTGCAAATGACCACTGCTTTTAGATTTAAGCGAGAGACCTGCTGCATTGTTTCTCCCGTCCTATGTTTATTCCCTTGTTAGATTAAGCTGCATGAACGGCCTTGTTAGTCATGATCTCTTTTTCATGGGCATCTTCAGTTAATTTACAGATGCCGCCCATGACCGATGCTTTTACTGGGCTGTATTACAAAGAACGAAATCGAAAGGCTGCCGGCCGTGGTCCGCTTTAATGTTCCGGAGTTTGTCCACTGTTTTGCCCAAAACACAAAAGCATGGATGGCTCAAACGTGTTGGACAGGGCTTCGGTAAGACTTACTTCAGTTTACCTTGCCATCGACGTATGCTTTTGAAATAACATAGTAAATTCTCTCGACTACATATATTCGTTTGCTTCCTTTTCTGATAGCATGGCCAGATATACTTTTAGCCGCTGCAGGCAAAAGTAAGCATTCTAATTTGCCCAGACGGCGGCGCCCTACAGGTTTGCGCGGGCCTACACGTGCAAACCTGCACAGTACCCACCCTTTTCCCCTCAGGGGCATTTCTGCAGCTCGTAACCCCAGGCATTTAGTAGCCTATCCAACCCTGGACGTCTGCAATTCCGCCCGTCAGATGGTGCGGGCGTGCGTGTATGTACACCGGTCCGCGACCCCGGTAATTGGACACCAAAATGTTATCAGGGTTTGAAGGGGCCAGTTTCTCTTCTGAAAATGTCTTCTCATTTTTGCAATTCTTTACATGATGCCCTGATAGCAAGCCATATTGAGGCGATCTCGAGTATATATCCGTCCTTGGAGGTATGCATATCGGGTTGTTGTCTACTGCTGAAAACACTTTGCTTCGTATCGCCGCAGTCGTTGGCCTTCTGTGGTGACACCCAGTTTGTTAGACATGACTGCAGTCTGCTGTGCTATGTCCATATCTGTCAACCAGTCGTCCGACTGCGGCCCTCGGTATTCTGTGGAAGAAGTCGGTGGAAAGATGACCTCTTGCCATCAATGCGCGAGCGGCCGCCGTCGAAAGGGTAGCCAAGGACTCATGTGCATCGTGATCGTTTACAATCTTTTCTTTTGATTTAGAACAGCGTAAGTTAGTGTAACTTACTGGCTGAGATAGCGACCTTCATGGAACAGGCTTCAAGCGCTGGTGACTGTCAGGGGCTCCGCCAAGTTAGTGTTAAGCCCTCGGCACCCGAGTGGCTTTTCGCAACGTGAATGGCGGTTTCATTGCTGACAACTCAGCCAAAGTCGAGCACTGTCGTGATCACTTTAAACAGCATCTCAACTTCGATGTCCAGCCATCACATCCTTGCTTTCCTCTGCAGCGGAGTTTCTTCCCTCTCCAGCCTATGCAGTGTCATACGACCCCTCTTCTGGAAGAGGCGTCGCCGATGCTATACAATGATTACGTAACAACAAGGCACCCGGAAAGGACACTGACCTCCTCGCCCCATGAGGTGATTGAACAAGCGTGGAGGAGCGAGGTTGCTCCGATGAATGGTCCTTAGGCACTCTTGTACCTATTTTCAGGAAAGGAGATAAGACAAGATGCGAGAACTAATGCTGCATAAGCCTCATCGACGTTACAACGAAGATCTTCAGTACTGTCCTTCTCAGGCGATTCCAGACTGCGTGCCTATAGGACGAGACCCAATCAGGCCGGATTCCGTGAACGACGTTGCCAAATCTGTTGGTTTATCCATTAACGCTGGGAAGGCTAAAGTGTTTTCAAGTTGCATCCCTGATCAGGAGAAGACAACTCTCGAGATTGGTGGCTGTCATCCCGAAGAGGTAGTCAGTTCTCAGTGCCTCGGAGCGAAGCTGCTGCCGAATGGACAGAGTAAAGACGACGTTGCCTCCCGAATTGATGCTGCGCGCTAGGTTTTCTCAAGCTTTAAAAATGCCTATGGATCCGACGCGACTTCTCCATCGCCACTAAGATTCGTGTGTACCGTGCATTTGTCCGGTCTGCCCTTCCCTATGATTGTGAATACTGAGTTGTGTGGGTAGAGGACGAACGAAAACCAGAGGTATTTGACCATCACTGTATGAGAGCCATCCTTCGAATGAAGTACACCGACTTCGTCTCAAATGAGACAGTCCGCATTCGCTACGACAACATTGTAAGGATAACTCAGACCGTCCAAGAAAGACGACTGAGGTGGTCCGGGCGTGCTCTTTGTCGTCCACCTCAAGAGTTCAGTGTAACTCCCCTCGACCTGGCACCGTTACCTCAATGGAGGCGTCAAAGAGGGAGTTAATTCAAAACCTGACTCGACACAGTTCTTCAAAACATCGAAGTGGCTCCTGGACCTTCGGTACTCGGTCTTTGTCGTTGGCGAGGAGTATGGGTCGAACTGTCTAGATCTGTTGCCGCGGATCGTCAGGCGTGGAGAAGTACGGTTCGGGACATCATTGAGGCCGACTAGATCAGGCATGATCGCAGCCATACGAATTAATAGTAAGTAGTAGCTTACCGGCGAGTATATGTTTTCACCACCGGATTGGCATAGTGTCTCGTCCAGTGCTAAATGTACGAGGCTCCCAACAGCGTTCTTGAAGACATGTAGAAGTTCTCAAACGTGAGCGCGTGCTATATTGCATCGTAACGTCCAGGTATATACACGTGACCACTGTTAATGGTAATGGTCCTAGTGTTTGATGCGTCGTCCAAGCATCCAGTATGAGTACATTCTACACCACCTACCAGGAATGATGTCTTTCTTTTATCTTCCCCAAATTCAAGCGAAGAAATTCAACTAAATAATGCACTTGGAGAGGAGTCTTCCGGCCTGCGTCTCCTCAATTTCCCGAACCAGTATTTTGGTCCAGCCGGTGCATGCGTATTGAGTAGGACGGCATTTTCTGAAGGATCTGAACAACGCTTCAGTAGGTGTCGACTAAATACGACTATATTGAGCTTGATTACGGCCTTTTAAAGGATAGCTGATATCCACCAGACGAACAGTTTGTCAGCCTGTCACATTTGACTTTTCGCCGCTTTAATTTTCGTTTTTTTTGTGCTTAGGTCTTTGACACGTGTTTGGTTCCATCTAACATCAGGCACACAACAGTGGCCAAGAAATGCGCACAGTTACAAAACTGAAAACCTATATGCCGGTGTAACCTTGTGATAGGAAAGCGTTTTAAAACCCCAAGAGTATGACAGGTCGTGTTGCAACGACTATTAGTTAGATTAGTGGGTAATGACATTATTGCGTCGGCCTCAACAGGCTGGGCTATTTGGGACCCACAGATGCTCCGAACTCGTACCAATTGTATGCGCAGAAGAAAGTGGAATTTTTCACAGCCTTTAACTGCTACTCGTCCTGAGATACGGGGAAATTTATTCCTGTGCGTCTTTATATCTGTTCGTAACTTTTTTGCCTATTCCATTTTAACCTTCCTGACCACAATGCTGTTTTTTCCCAACATAAGTGGACTACTTTAAACGCCTCGGAAATGACTACCTTGCCGTCTTCCGTGATACTGCCGACGACATTGCAAAACACCCTGGGAGAGCTGGTCTCGTCCTTTTGGCTGGCGCCAGCACCGTTGCTGTCTGTGTTTCCTGTCCCCATGAGTCCGCCTTCGATGCCCAACTCCTCAGCTACTCAGTCGATCTATGGGACACTCCGATGGACCTACAGAACCGATCGGCCGTTGCTCACATTCAATCCTGCCTCACCCATCGTTCTCATGGCCAACTTCGACATGCTAACTTTGGTTTCCTGCATATTGTTTGGCGCGATGATCGCCCTCGGCCTTGTGCTCTCTACTCCGAGATCTGTCCGTACAATTACCCAGCAGGGGGCGCCAAGAGTCCAATCCGTGGTCTCCTCAACTGTTTCCTCTATGATCAACCTCGGGACCTCCCACCCCTCACTGTTCTGCAGCGTATTTCTCACGTTTTGCACAATCGCATCGTGGATGTGGGGTGCTTTGGGCGATTTTGGTTTTTGGATGCTGCCATGGTTGACTACGATATTAATGCCGAGGAGTGGGCTCACGAGTCCCCGACGGCTTTGCCAGCATAGTCTCTCTGACGTCAAGGACAGTGGGGACACTGTACCTTCATCTTCAAGTAGTCAGAAGGCTGGGGACAGTACCAATCCTCCGGGAAGCACCGATAGTGTATCAGAATGCGCCAAATCACCGAAAGGAAATGGGAGTGGAAAACAGATAGGTTCAACGGGGCAGGGTGAAACAGACGCAGACGAGTGGGAGGTCGTTGAAGAGACTCTGGTGCATGTGAATTGTGTAGGAGCAATCGAACGTGACCTCATACAGCCTGGAAGGCAGGTGCTGATGGTTGATATTGACACCGAGACGCCACTTTTGCAGGTGAGTACACTTGGTTGCTCCGAAAACCTAGCAGCAGTTTGGTTCAATGTACAATCCTATAGCGGAGCTGTTGCTTCTGTGGGCGGTGCCTTGTATTTATAGTTGCAATGCACGCATCCAGAATGTGTCAGACATCTGAAGCGGCTGGCTGACGCACGTCCCAGCCATCAGATGTTGTGGGGAGTTGCCGGTGTTTGATCATATATATGAATTACGTTGGCCTGGTAGTCATCTGGTGGATTCTAGGTGTATTACTCAGGAAATCGTGCTTGGACAGTCAGCTTACTGTATCAGATTTGATGGATTCCAGGCGTTGCAGTAGGTTGGGCGGGTAACTGGACCCAAATGTGATTAAATTTGCGTCGTCCGGCGGGGCCTCGTAACTCAAGTGGTTAGAGCGTCGGCCGTACTAAAGCCTTCACCTTACTGTCGTGGGTTCGAATCCCACCGAGGCTCTGAGTTTTTCGCAGTTAGGTTAGTATGGATCAAATATATATCTGCGACGGATGAGTACTTAAATGACCTGGGTGGTGCTTTCTTCCCTTAATTGGTGATCATCAGTTTTCTAAGTCCACGTCAAGACTATTTAAATGTTATCAGGATGAATAAAGCCTGTCGATGTCGCACCAAATTAAGAAATGACGATGATGACGATGGCTTTGAGGACACTCCACCTGTCACATAGGTGACTAGTGAATCAATGTTTGCACTGAATGCGATCCGTTTCTGTCCGCTGCTGACCAGTTAATTTTTGTCAGTTAAACAGACTAAAAATTATTTAGCCGTGGCGTCCACGTGCCGACGGACTGCGTTTGACAGATTTTAAATCTAGATGAAAATGACATTGCCGGACAGTTCATCACAGCATGAAGACAGAGAAACGTCTCTTGAAGTTTCTATATTTTCCACTACTGATCTTACATTTTTGTAAAATTGGAAATGCATTTATGAGCACTGGCCTTTGAGTAGGGGAAACTCCTCTGATGTGGATTTATGGGGTTCTTGGGCCATCCAAACCAACTTTCCGATAATATTGAAGAAATGTTTAGGCTTTTTTGGGGATTTTGCTCCGGACTCGATTGAAGTCATAATGGGCGATAGGTCATGACAGCTGCAAGGAGGAGCGCCTTATCCATCTCGTCCACTTGTCCGCCTGCATCTATGACAAGAACTAGAAATGGCCACTCCGAACTGGGCGACTCTTGGGGAATTGGTTGCCAGCAGCCATCACTGCGATTCCTGGCACCTTTGTTCAATGCCCCGCTGCATTAAGGTCGTTCGCCTTCCGGGTGAGCTGTTCCGAACGCACTGACCGACTTCACTTTAGACATACCTGCGTCTAGACAGTAGTGGCCGCCCATGTAGCACTTAAACACGCCACCCCTAGACCGAACTATGCGAGACAGTGGCCTTAGCCCGTGTCACTAGCCTGAGTCCTCCAGTTGTCAGTGAAGGGTCGTACTCTGCGCCCTGCCCACTGGCCAGATTCTTCACATTCCACATGATACACCATTTTTTAGACACAGTTTTTCAGCATACACTAGGTGACTTTGACTGCGGTTCTTGCAGTCGAGTTTTTGTGTTTTATCGAATTTCAGGTGACACCAGAACGGGTTATGTACAGGCAGTGTAGCATATTTTTGCCCTGACAGCGAATGCAAGGTAGACTTAACATCATGGAAAAGGCGTGAACCTTTTTTTCCATTTTGGGATCTTCAAGTTCCTTTCTTGTTTTGAAGTATTTTGTTTCGGGCCAAACTTCTGGGACGTAGGTCAGGAGCTGATTGCGCCAGAGTTTGCGGACTGGACAGTGCTGTTAGAATGACCAAGACTCAAAACGATAAATTTTATTTTAGCTGGATGCTCTTATAGAGTTCCCCTGATATTCACAACTAGTTGACTGAGATAGTTTATCGGTATCTGCTCTTATCACGAATAAACTGCTTTCAAAAGTTGTTTAAGTTTGTCGCGGTCAGATCTTCAACCACGGTAGTATCATCGACACATGCAGCCTAGAGCGTCGCTCGGCAATTAGTCGAGACCAGATATTGATGTTCTTATGTACCTGTTCATAATTTGGTCGTAGGTATATCTGTAAAAGTTTAAGCCCGTTTCTAGACTATACCCTCTTAGTTTGATGATTTGTTGGTGTTTTGCTTGAGATCGCCAATAACACGACAGTGTACGTCAAACTTAACCTAAACACCAACTTGTCAAATAACTTTTATGCTACCTAACTGTTATTGACATTGAAAAAAAAACAATTAGTTCTGCTAGTCAAATTTTGCCTATTTGACCGGTACCCTAAACCGTTCAGATTGTGATTTTAAGTGTCCAAATAACATCTACTTATACTGCTACAAGTAACCCTGCGTTTCTCTATTTTGTTTCAGATTGGCCAAGCAATTTTCCACGGCACTTACAAACAAGCGATCGGCACTAGTTTATTGTTCGAAAAGCACGCGCCCACTTCTGCAAAAGACTCCTCCGAAAAGTCACTCACTGAAAGCATCGGTGTTTTTTCAAGTTTCCCAAAGCCTTCTTCGCGCCCCCAGTTCACCTATTTTGGCAAAACTTCTAAATTACTAGATCTCCAGCGTGTATTTTTAAAGCCCAAGGAAAGTGCGGAGTAACCTGGATCTTTGGACCCTCCCCTTGTTTTTCTGTCGCCTACTGTTTTTTACAGATTCCCGAATTATTTCAAGCAGACTTTATGCCCCCTTTTAATGTTTGTACGAAGCCTGACTGCCCTTGTATTTAGACGATATTCACCGCCCTTAGGTCACAGATGGAATGCATTTTTAAGAGCTTTTAATATGCGTAATTTTAAAAGGTTACATTCATTTCGGTTTCTTTAAGTAGCCATATCGTTCTCCATAATTTTAGTCCTTATTAAAATCCACTGGTAATTTTCTGGAAATCTGACAAACGGTGCAGTTCTATTAGGTGTTAGAGCGAGCGCATTCACGAAATTTTCCGGTCCTTAAAAGTTTTGCTTGTTTGTTGGACGTATGTCGTCTGCGGACCTGCTTTACGCTCCGAAAGACCGCCTGATTCCACGGGCTTTATGCGTCTTAGCGATACCTATTCAAGTTGCTGTCTGCGCCATGCCTCCGCTTTGACCCTGGCGCTCTTAATGGGTTTTTATCACAGTGAGTGTTGGAGGTATAGAATATCACCACGACCAGCAGCTTCTTCATCGGATCCTCCGCACCAGTTTCCGGGTCTGCCTTTAGAGATCCGGAAGGGTCATGCATTATTCCAGATAAAAAATGTTGCTGTAAACATCTACTGCAATTAACTTCAACAACTGAGCTTCTGATTCAACAAAACTTCTCGAGAGAATCGGACAAACATACTGTTTTCAAAGAAGAACCTTAGGCTTTGTACGTTACTTCGCCTATTTACTGGAAGTATAAGACCCACACGACCGGGGAACACGTTTCTGGGACGCACTCGAACGGCCAGTCTCCCAGGTACGCTCCGTAGGATCCAATCACTGGAATGTCCGGAGGGCACGCTTGCTGGCCGATCCCTTACGAAACAAGTGTTTTGGCAGATCGACGAAGCACAACATTAGGCTCGAATTCCTGTGGTCATCGGTCCAATCATGTTTCTGGACGCGTATTTTCTAACCAAGTAATATAGTGTCTAGACCGATGACTAGTTAATTAGACCTCGGTGGAGCACGCGGTCATTTACCCAACACTGACGTTGCCCCCTAAATGCGGCCTCATATAAAGTATCCCGTGAGGTGCGTCAAAAGTAAAGCATAGAACTCCGGATGCGTCATACCTCTTGAAGTTTTGCATTCTGATCGAAAATCTCCCTAGTCGTTGGTGAACATCTTTTCCTTAAAAGGCAGGTCATTCAGTCTGGGAAAGATCGGGATACTCACTTATTTTGTTCGTTCTATGGGGCATTGAGTAGTTTTAAAAATTATGACTTCCTAGTGCAAAGTATTTCGACTTCTGTATATACGCGTGTATATAGTTTCTTAAAGCCATACTCTCAAATGATCCATATTCAGGCGCAGCGAGTTGGATGCCTTGTACAAAAATCTCGAGGAAAAATGAAAGCAACGAGGACCGATCGATACATAAGGACCCACATAGCAGCCGCTTGCTCGCACAGACGCTGAACTAGTATCGATTTTTAGGCAGGTTTCAAATGTTAACTGTTTTTAGTCCATCTGCCCAACGTGAATTAGCGTTGAAAATTTAATGAAGTTTCCAACTTTTCCCAATGGATATATTTAACTTCAAGTTTCTTCTTTCTACAAAATTCTTCTCAGTGCGTCGGCGTCCGCAATCGCCAGGGCCTGATGGTGGTAGCGAAACTCCGGGTGAATGGAGCGATGACTCCGCACAGTACATGTCCTTATAAGCTGCCATGTTGCGCACACACCACTGCCAATGTACCCGATTGCAACCGACAGGACAACGAGCCCGCGGCTCAGTGGTAGAGGGGGGGGGGGACAGCGATCGTGTTACGGGGCTCGCTCGTCCTGTTGTGCCTTGGGGCTCAGTCTCGAGACCGGGATGGCTATTGCTGGCTTGTTAGCCGTTAAATGTGCCCTACGGGACAATGAGACCATGGCCCGGTGGTTAGGGACGTTAGATTTCTAACCAACAGGTCGCGGGATCGAGTGCCAGGGGTTGCGTATGGCTGGCTGACGACAAAATGGCAATCGCAGTCCCCCCTTCTCGTTGTCGGAAATGTCACTCTGCCTATACCACTAGCCCCAATGCGGTTGCTGGAGGGGCTCGAGACTGATCCCCAAGGTACAACGGCACGAGTGAGTTCCCTGACGCGATCGATGAGCGCGGTCCCGGCATGACACGGATTCTGAGTACTCAGGCTATTTCTAGGGCTTCCATATCGAAGATCCAGTCTTGCGGAGGCAGATGAATGTGGTTGAGCTTCCTTGTAAGATGCTCGTAGACTTCTCATGTCTCCGTTCTACACAGCTACTGAAACTTCAATCGCAATTTACGAGACCTATCTAATATTAGAGACCAAAGTGAGGAAGGGATGCTTTAATCTCGAATACCACGGACAAACGCTGCAAATACCCAAAATCTACCGGTGTGTCCTCATTGTTAACCCGCGTTCACAGCACGCATCGGACCCACTAGACGTTTTTAGGTCCAATGTCACGACAACCCGCCCAAGGAATCCCCCCCGCACAGAGCGTTGCACTCATCAAATTTCCTATCCAACCATGTTACCTGACAGACACTCAAATTCCCATAGCATTTTCGCTGAAGACCCTTAGTGTTTAAATGAAGGGCAATCAGAAGTCGTCATCGCAATACGCCAAGCCTGCAAACAACGTCATGAGAGTACTGCACGCTATAAAAAGGACTTTTGCAGCTTTCGACAAAGACCTCTTTGGCACCTCACCTAGGCTATGGCGTACAGTCGCGGCGGCCATGACTCAAACGACGAAATGTATCTCGAGAAAGTGCAACGTCGTGCAACAAAGACAGTTGGAGAGAAAGACTGGAATGCCTCAATATATTCTCTCTGTGTTACAGGAAACAAAGAGGTAATCTTATCTTAGTTTGCGAGATAGTACATGGTCTTGAGCAGGGGCTGCGCCTTGTGGACTTGGTTCAGTGGTACCTTTCGCCTCATTTTCGCAGACACTAAATGAAACTGCGCACGAAAATGTCCACGCTAAACCTCCGCTCTGAATTCTTCACGCAAAGGGTATTAGAACAACGGAATGATCTCTCTCTCTCTCAATTTGTCCTCGTGGTGACGTCCCTGTGTCCTTTGTTTTCCGTCGACAATCTGAACCCGAGCAAAATGCCACGTGAACTCCAGACCGGAATTTGCTTCAAAAACAATGCTACTTACATTTTGTGGATACTAGTTTAATAGTGGCAATTCCCAAGAATGTGAGTCCAGATTTACATGACGCACCGGCATGTAAAAAACAGGGTTTTCAAAGACACATTCACCTGACATAACCGAGCCCATGGAGCGGGACTGGGTCGTGCGGGGGACATGTAGAATAGCTGTTAAGCCAATTCCCGTTAGCAACTGACAGGCTGAGACAGTCGAGTGGTGCACAGGAGGCGGAGGAATGAGCGATTGAATTCTCGTTCCGAAGCGACGCAGCGGTTGAATCTATCGCTAATTTGAAGCCTACCAGCAGACATGATAACTCCACCCTTTCGGGAATGAGATTTAGGCTGTAATGGCTCCTCAATGTGACCCTCGTGGCCCTCTGAATCAAGTGAACTTCAAGCCCACCCCTTCCATGAAAACCTGATACGATGTGGGGGTCGGGTCGTGTATGACGCGCATAGACGGGCAGTTTAGCTATTTCGGTCACCGCGCCCGAACCCTCCTGCAGTTGTCTTGACATTGTCCTCTCATCGAAGCAAGGCGGGCGAGGGAGGAGAGAATACGGCGACTGCTACGCAAGCTCGCCTCACTATAGACTAATTCATGGGCAAGTAATCGGCGCAGCGTCCACACCAAGGGACACACAAGATGAACGTCGTAATCTGCGGCGGCCGAACTGCCGTGGTTATCTATGAAATACTGACTGAAATTCTGAAATGTATTTTTTAAGGTGGTTGGATGGTGTAACAATAACCAGTGAACATCATAATCCCAGGATATTTCAGTCGTGGCAGTATACCAGCCTTCAAAGCACTTTCTTTTCGGCCGCCTGCAAAAACCACACTCGATTCAAAGTTGCTGCTTAATCAGTGTGCATTTTTCCTAGCGATTTTCGATGCCCTCGTAGATTCAAATAGATTTTAGTAGGAAATGTGTACAAAATGTTCTTTTCTGTACTCGTTTGGTAACAAATTACGTTCTATCATAATTGCATACTTGAAGCTAGAGCATCTTTAGGCTTCGAAAACGTTTCCCCATTCCCGAAGAATTTTCAACCTGATGTGCGACTGCAAGTGTGCTTAGGCTTTTCATACTGCATACTGCATACATTAAAAGTTTACCTACTCTGTTAAGAAGACGCTATATAGGTTCCATAACAATCCAGGCTGGATGTGGGTCATGTTGTATACCTCATAAGCAGCATTATAAACAAGATGCTGTATGAATGGACAATTCACTATCCTAAAAAATCTCATAAGTACAAGCATTTTCTAAACCGCATGATACCTTTACTTTCCGTGCAGAATATCAAGAAAACCTGATTTTTAACCAAGTGAGAAAAAAAAAGAATGTCTTGGGCATGTTTTTCCTAAAAAAATGCACTTACATTTACAGGGGCATCGGAAATCAATGGGACAAACGCATACTGCTTAAACAGTCGCTTTTTATCGACTGTGGCTTTTGTCGACCGCAAGAGGGAACTAATACGAAACTATCTTGGGATTATACTGCTCGATGGCAAATATTACATCCCTACCTACAGTCAGTGACCGGTCTCATGAAATGCGAACCGAAATTCTTAGATACGTCTTCGGCTAGGAAGGATTACTTACGTGGGGTTGTAATACTGACCATCTGGCGACACAACCCGGTGGTATTTCAGATAGGCTAGGATGCCGACTTCTGAATGCGCTTCTTTTCAGTCGTCGGTAAAAACCGCAGTCGACAAAAATGGTTACTTCTGCAGTATGCATTTTCAATTTTGATTTTCAAT